AAAAATTTATCGAGTTTGGTTTAATCGTTGTCAAGATATTTTAATTCAAAGTTTAAAAAAAAATTACTTAAAAATAATTTGCTTGTTTTTATTGACACTTCTCAAGTATATATAACTATAGCAAAAGCCAACTATATATCTATAAAATACAAATAAAAATTTTTTTATAAAAAAAATAATATAAAAAAAAAAAGATTATTTGTTCTAAAATTCGATTGGTTAATTACATATAATTATTATAATTTTATAATTTTCTAAAATTATTTTATTATTATAAAAAGGCGTGGTTTGCATTGTCCAAATTTTGTATATTTTTTGACTGAACTTGAGCAGTTATGAATTCCTCGTAACCTTTTTCCAATTCTGTTAGCCAATCAGGATGGAGCATAAGCGTATTCCACTTTTTACCTGGCATTAATGCTCCTTTTAGGCTCAAAACATCAAGCTTTTCTTTAATTATTTGATCGTCTTTAGCCAAAGATTGTTTTTTCCCATTATTAATATATATATGTACTAGCGATTCTTTTTTTGCAGCTTTCAATATGTATGGCAGAATTTCTTTTAAAAAATTGCAATCATCTAAATTAAGGCCCTTTGAACTAAAAAATTGATCTGCGTAAGAACTTGAAACAATAGTTTCAATTGATATGCCAGGAAGTTTAACCAACATATCGATTTTGTCGACAGTAGCGCTTGCAGATTCTAAACTTTGAATTTCTTTACTGGATTCGGCGTCTTGATTTTGCTCATCAGCACCATCTATTTGTTTTTCTTCCTCGACAACAATAAGACGTCCGTCCTCAATAAATTTTTCAATTGTTTTATTCACTTCATTATGCCGATCAAGTTTTTTTGGTTTGGTCTTAATCCAACGACCATACTTATTTTCAAGTAAGCTGACAAAAATATTCAATTTGTGAGCCTGTTTCAGTAAAGTTATGATGGAATAAGATGTCATTTATGAAAATTATGGCCAAGCTGTCTGAAAAAATAAAGATGACTTACTTTTCCTTTCGGATAAGAACTTAAAAGCAATTCGTAAATCTCTTCTTCTTCTTCTTCCCTGGACATCGGATTCATGCTTTCATAATTTAAATAATCAGGATTCATCCTATCTTCAAGAATGTTCTCATATACTTGAATTCCAGCAAATG